AAAAATGTTCTTCTTTGCTTAAGTTGTTGCTGTAGCTGACACCTGTCAGTAGTTACAAGATGACTAATTTGAGGCGTACTTAACAATATCCTCTACTCTTGGAAGGGCCATGATTTCAATGGCCTCCCACACTTCGTGATAGTCTGAGCAAGATAGAGAATTTACACGTGTGTCAGACATTGTCTAGTCTTGGTAAATAACTTACTTCTGACTCTGTCTTCTCATCTCCAAGTCATCTTTTTCGACCATCTCAGCAGTTGTGTGAGTACCATTCATACCTTCTGAAGTGCTTTGATGTGCTTAGACCACAAGTGATAGTTTTTATTTTTTCCTCTTATGGTTCATTACTTTCCAAAATGGAGCTATGCTTGTTACTAGGATAATTTTGGCCAAAAGCAAGGTGCCTTGTTTCTTTGAGTAACATCAGTTTCTTTCATGTATGTCTAGATCATTTGGATTGAAGGCTTATGATGATGAGGCACTGCTGTGTTCTGGGTCTTGCTTTTGGGAAGTTACAAAAGAGCAGGTTCTGGTAGCTGAGTGTTGCCACTCTGTCTCCATCCTTTGATTACTGACTTCTTGGGACTGTTTTCAATGTAACAGCCAGATTTTCAGAGTGTGTCTGTTTGTGGCAAAAGGGGATGACTTGGGGACACCCACTGTGCTTCAGATGTGGTCTTGCATAATGCTTGTCGCAGAAAATCTCCCCGTATCCTTCATTCCGCCCAACAGCTTTACAAAATAACAGCTGTGCATGCAATCGCCTGCTCTAATTTGCTTCTGCTGTTGCAATTAGTTACAAGGCACAAAGTCACAATACAGACTCGGTGTAAAGCAGAAATAATGGCGCCTTCTGTACTGAATGAGAGAGCTGTGACTTTGGTCTTTCTGACTGTGCCTCTCTTTAATGTGTTGGTGCCGACTTAAATGACACACTGTAATGAGAGAGGTCTATTGATGTTCACGGTCATGGCTCTCTGTCTTCACTTTTCTATGGTTTTTCCAAACCTCAGCACTTTAATATTAATTTTTACTTACTAGATACGTAACTGAGGATGAATAATTTTAGGAAAGAGTTCAGTTATTTTCAAAAATGGGGCTACAAAACCCACATTATTTTGCCCATGCAGGCATCTTCTTTCCTCTTCCCAACTCACGTTCCTGTGCTTGGTGTGTGGTCTTGAAAGATGGTGGTGACGTGACAGCTAGGAGTTTTTGTGTTAAGGACATACCTTCTGCTTTCCGTGTTTAAAATCTTTTTTAATTTAGCTTTCCTCAGGTGGTAGAGGAAAGGTCACAATTTTGCACATGTTCAGTAAGGACTTTTGACAGTTATTCTGAAGGTTTGACTCCATGTTGAGCAGGAAGATGGTTCAAGAAACATAGGAAGGAGAGGGAGAACTTTATCTGCAAGGAAGTGGTGTACAGCAGCAGAGTAGGAACCAGCTCAATAAAGAACACGGAGAGGGAAGAGACTGAGTTTGGGTCACAGAGACCAAAGCAGATGAAGAACATGTTGTGTGGGATATGCTGGGGGTGAAAAAGAGGTATCAATCAAGACAGGAACCGTGGGAGTCCTGGCACTGGGTGGCAAAGGAATTGAAACTTGGAAGTTATGGGGAAAATACTGAGAGTGAAGTGAAATCTGGGGAGATGAAGCTGTGTGTGCAGCATCGCAAAACGGAGCTGCCCGAAGAGGGAAGCTGTGCTCCTGTCATCGTGGTTCTGCCACTCCTCTGCTTTCCATCTTGAGTGCTTGTGCTTGTTGAGCTCCTCCAGGAGCCAGCTCTGCAGCAGAAGCCTGTTGGAGCAGCTAACAAATTGAATCAGCTCACAAAAGGGGGTCTTGGGGGAGCAAACTACTGGAACTGAGGGGGTGTGTTAATGGGAGGAGCAGTATGACCTGCCCCCCGTGGCAGTAGTGGGGTGTTAAATCTCCTGACAGATGAGAACTGCAGAGGTGACAAGAAGCGATTTGAAGCACGGAGCCTGCTGCAGAGGAGAGGGAGCAGGACTGAAGCAGTAACAGATTGGGAAGAAAGGGTCAAGTCTGAGAGGGAGAAGTTGGCAGAAGAATCAGCCTGTTAAAAAAAATGTTCCTTCTCAAAATGCTCAAAAGAGGATCCATGATTTTTTAAGTCTTGCCATTTATTGCTGTCAGCAACAATTTGTAAAAGCCAGAAGAAAGGTGCAGATTTGAATGGCAATAACAAATTAACATCCATTAGTAAAAGCAGAAGAGGTTTTTGCGGTAGGTCTAAAGGCTCTGGCTCTGCTGATCAGTCTTGATATAATTTGATCATCGTGCAATTTATCCCTTGTTTAAAGACCTAGGGAATTATGCATAAGGGAAAGTAAAGCTTGCTTAAAGCTGTAAAATAAAATATAGGAAACGTAAGCACAGTCTTAATTTGTTGCACTTAGAAATATGCACCATTATCTTTATTTTTAGTCAGTGTCTCTGCCTTAGCCAGAGTAAAGAACGAACAGTATTGAAAGACCTCATGAATATTTTGTTTCTCATCATAATTCTGTCTTACTGTGCCCTATTCAAATTCTGCTCTGAGTGACTGTTAATTTCCATAAGCACTCTGTGAGTGATCTCCTGTAGTGAGATACTTTGTTTCATACATACATTAAATTTTCACTGTTCTGCATACAAAGAACTGAAGGATGAGAGTTTAAAAAAAAACCACACCAACAACCCTCCCCAAAACCCACTTAGCTGCACACGTTTATAATTATTAACCTGGCAAAACTCAATTCCATATTATGTTTTTCTGTATCCTTCCGATCTGTAAATAAGACCCCAGGACTTGAGGAGTGTGGTGGAATGTATGGGCTAAGTCTGGCTTCGTCCCAGGAGCTCTGCTGGGTTCCAGAGTCAAAACGTGTGCCTCCTCTATTTCCAGGGTGCAATGACATTGTCCTGTCCCTCTGTGCACTTGCCCATCTTGCCCACTCTGGATATGGACTGATTTGTAGGTGTGGTCCATCCTCGTCAGTTAAAAAGAAAATCATGAGTTACTGTTGAAAAACTGTTTATGAATACTGTTGAAATACTGAAATAATGTTTTGGATTCTGTTTTTTGGGGTGGGGGGGTTGGTGGGAGAAATGCAAAGGGCTGCCGTGCAGGAATTTTACAGCTCATTCTGATACTCAGATGAGATGCAATAGTATTGCCAGTCTGGGTCATTGGGAATATTGAAAATGCTTATATAATTGAGAGTTTTACCTTTTTTGATATCTGTAAGTCTGAAGCTTTAGATACCTGGACATTTCTCCTAAAACGCCTTATTTGAGTATGCAATTTACCATTTTAAATACAATATAAAGTTAGCATAGCAGTGGAGTATTAGATATCAATTAAAAATATAGTAAAACCCAACAAGCATGACAAAAAACATGTGCCTCATGTTAATACTGTTCTCTTTTAAAGAGGCTTTCTGCTTTTGCATAAGAAGTTATGGGCTGGTTTCTATGACATACCAGGAGTTCCTGCTTAGCCAGTATGTTTTGTTTATTTCCCTGAATGAGATTTTATAAAATACTGAGTATCTGTGATTGTTTGCCTAACTTAGCAAAGGGTTGACTAGTTTCTTCTTAATTGTAATCTTTATGTCAGCATTAAATAGCAGGAGTACCAGAGATGACTTCAGAGTCCAAAGGTTGATGCAGAAGCCACAGCTATTATATCTGGATATACTCTTAACTAAAATACTCATGGAAATAGGTTTAATATGGCTTTTGTGTGTAACCTTTCAACATGTTTTAATTCTGGTTTTTTGAGGCCATGGCTACAGTCATCTTTATTATTTAAGGGCACCTTCCCCAAACTCTCAGCCTTCCTTGTGCCTGCTCTGACACTTGTATGGCTGCATGGAAAGCCAGGCTGTGGAACTGATGTAGCTTAAAAAAATATATTTTTTTCTTGTGTTTGTCTTCCAGTAGATCCATTTCCTTTCAGCAGCAATGCAGCAACACAGATTTAAGTTAGATTAAAGTTAGCACGTAACCATGACTTGACCTGTCATCGAAGTATACCAGTAGGTGTGGGAAGTAGATTTTTTTTTTTTCTAGGGTTTGCTCTATTTCTGTTTTACTTTCATCCTTTGAGAGAAGGGCTCATGTCTGAGGGTGACCATTTAGACACAAAGGACCAAATTGAGCAGAGTGGACGCCAGAGGTGTGATGTCCCACACAGCATATCTGTTCTGTAGAATTTCTGAAATTTATGTGTGCTAGGAAGAGTTTTTTGTTTTCTCACCCATTCTCATTGGTGAGAATTTATGTATTGGATTCCTTCAGCAATTTCGATATTAGCTTTTATTTCACCATAACGAAGCAAACGATGTGCCAGCATCTGGGTGCAGATGACCTGATATAGCCTTTTTAAATGTGAACGTGTTGTTGTATACCAGAAAAACTTAATCATTCTTTTTCTACCTTCTTTAATTTGCATTAGCATAATTAGAAGATGGATTTGCTTTAACTCTTTTTTTAACCCTTATTGCAACAGGCTAGGCAAGTTCTTATTTGCATCTATAAAATATGCTTGGGAAAGATGAAAATGATCTTTGCCTGAAGTACAGTGCTCACAAACACTCTGGGCTTTCAGACAAATCTATTTTATGTCAAAAATCTAAAGGTAGCTAACTATTTCATAGTAAATATTACCAATCAGTATGCAAGCTGCCTCTGAATGTTGTAAGAATTGTTTCAAATACTAAAATATTCTGATACTTAGTAGATAATGTTTTATATATTATAAAGTAGAAATAGAAAGCTGCTAAAATAGCAGTTCTCTTATTATGTTAATGTGGACAGATTTTGCAAAACACAGACTTCAGGACCTGATGTTATGTTACTGTGTCTTGACGTAAGTTGGATCATTCATTGTAGAAGGTTCTGCTGTTTGTGTTTTCAGGATAGAGCTCTGAGCAAGGTGTTCTCAAACCTGTTGCTTAAAATTGTTTCTTTTTGTTTTCCCCTGCTGCAGGTGTGATGGACAGGTAGCAGAAGGTTTCACTTGGCTATCAGGGAATCAGAATGACCGAGTGCTTCCTGCCTCCCACTTCCAGCCCCAGTGAACACCGTCGGGTAGAACACAGTGGGGGTCTTGCTCGTACTCCCAGCTCTGAAGAAATCAGTCCAACAAAATTCCCTGGGTTGTACCGCACCGGTGAGCCTTCACCACCTCACGACAGCCTGCATGAGCCTCCAGATATAGTATCTGATGATGAAAAGGAGCATGGGAAGAAGAAAGGAAAATTTAAGAAGAAAGAAAAAAGAAGTGAGTAGGAAACTTCTCTTATTTCATGCTTATAATTTCTCTTTCTCTCTTTCTTTCTCTCTCCCTCAAAATTGCTTAATATTCTCAGTAGAACTTGTGTGTGGTGTGAAGGAAGGGAACTCATAAAAATACGCTTTGTGCAATACCTGTTTCTCTTCCAAAAAAACCCCACACCTTAATCAAAAAATGGATTTGGTTTTTGTTGCACAGATACACATGACAAGCACATGCCCTGAATTACTAATAAACATGTCTATCCAAAACCTTTAACGATGTATTGGTAATTGCCTGGCATGGGGTTCTTCTAATCTTATTATCTGTTCACATTCCAAGTGGAGGTTTCCAAGTGTATTTCCAAATAGATGCTTTTTGAAATTTTAGTTGAGGTGCTAGCTAAAATAAAACTGTAAGTTTGACCTGAATTTTGTACTTTTAAGTTTGGAAGAGTCAGTTTCAACAACTTTGACCCTTTTTCCTTATGTCTCCCCTATGCAGAGTTTGCTGCTCTGTACCATCTCGAGTTTTTATGTGCACATTGCACCATTATCTGAGGAGTAATAAAATGTGTCCTTTTTTTTCTCTAGCTTCTCAGTTTAGTCTGATCATGCATTTTCCTCCAGCAGTGCCCAAGTACTATTGCAGAGTTCAAAAATGTGCAAGCCATTGTCAGGATCTGAATTTACTAGAACTGACAGAGTAAAGGTTAGAAGACAGTAAAGCTCTGACTATGGAATCCATTCTGTGTCAGTGTATCAGTGTCCGGAACAGAAATTTTCATTAAAATAGCATATCCCTCCTCCAAACCAACAGAAAATTCTGGAAACATGAAATAGTTTTTATTCAGTAGAATTTTTCTACATACTCTGAAAGAACAAAGCACTTGGAATTCGTAAGCTGATACTCAGCACTTTCAGTACCAGAAAGATCCTTACTGTCCAAATCTCTGAAACCTAAATGTCAGAGCTCAAATGTTAGTACATTTTTAACTGACATTTATTTTAGCAAAATATCGAAATAATGTTCATCATCTACAGTGCCTGTATCTCTGATGCCTGGAAGGTCTGGATGCCAGTGTACGTTACCACTTCTTAGATGTGAATTTTGGAAGATTAAAAACAATGAGACAGCACACAATTTTCTGCATGTTAGGATGAATATGGTGACTATTTGTAATATACATGCACATATTTAAATAATTAGTCTTTAAGACTTTGCTGACACTGCACTGCTTTCAATCAAGCCTGTTTCCTGGAATGCAGGATTTGTTTCTACCACAGTTTAGAAGAAATACCGGTATTAGCTGAAGATAATTAGCTGAAGCTGTGCATAAAGGATACTGTAACTCAAAAATATATTATCTTCCAGTTAAAACTGATAGTTTAAATTCCTGCAGGTTTTAAGAAAACTGATTCTTTAGTTTTTTTCTTAGTGTAAACAGTATTAACCTGATACAGAGTATTGAATTGGTGATGAAAATTCAAGCTATTATTCTTCTTTGCAAATCAGCTTTCTGTTACAACTCTGAATTAGGCACCTCTAAATTTGGAATTGTTACAAGTCAGCATTATCCATAGGGTGGGTTTCTTTGTGGTGTAATTCTGTACGTCTCATGGTGATAGTCTGACTGAAGGCTGAAGAGGAAAAATGCTCCTTCAGCAAATGCAGGCAGGTCTGTGCACATGAGCACTGTAACGGCTTTCTTCCACAAGTGGCTGCAGCACGTTTTAGAGCTGATGTAGAGCAATTTTTGTTACTTAGAAGAGGCTTTAAAGGTACAGAAAATCCTCAAAAATGTGAAATGTAGGAAGAATCAAATTATCTCTTGCAGCTGTGATATAAAAAGCATTCTGCATTTCTTAGCCCTATTATAGGTATGTCATATAATTACCAGTCAGGTATAAGGGTAAGTTACAAACAAAGTTTTCAGTATCTCTCATACAGTCACAAAATGGTCATTATTGTAAATATACCCTGAACAGACATTTTAATTATGTAAATGACAAGGGGTTTTTATAGTTGCTTAACATGGTTGATTTTAAGAGTTCCAGTTCCAGCTTTATATTTTGTTATGCCTTCTGTACTTTTTGTTCTTCAGTTTCTTCCACCTTTTAAATTCTATTGCATGTGTTCAGATTGGGTTTTTTTTCCACTTTTCTGGCCAGCTGCTTTGATTTGGACAATACACAACCTGCTATGGTCATGTTATTTGGGATTTAAATAAATATAATTGAACATTTCAGTGAGAAAAAGGCAAGTGTTGATATTAAATTATGACATTCAATATTTGTTGAACTTCATCATATTAGTGAATTAATGACAAGGTCATCCAAGCTCCTGAAACTGTATGTAACCTTGATCCTACAAAGACTTTGGGGTATTTCAATAGTACTCTAAATGTAAGCTTCAGAAATGCTTGAGGAGCAGGAGGGTGTGTGGAGACGGAAAGATAAATACTCCAAATTTACTCATTTTAGTTTTTCAGGTAAATTCTTCTTGCTGGAGTAATATACTCTTAGCTTCAGCATTATTACCTATTTTAAAAAACGCATTTTTGTATCCTACCAAGGGATCTTTTTTCCTATGTGAATAATACAATCATTTGATATTTTTCATGTTAATGGCAGTAACTTAATAATATACAGCAATTAGCTGGGGGGAAAAGTTCTAAAAATTTTTGGAGGTGATAGAAAATTAAATTAAATATTGGGGTTTTTTTTATGTGGAAGGACAATTACTGGGAAAACAGTTTCAGCCACTGATTTCTTTCTCCATTCCTCTGTGACAGTCTGTTGGTTAGCTACAGAGTGAGTTAGATTAGGGGACAACTTAGGGGTTAAAACTTGTTTTCTTTTTACTGAGCTAGTTTTAACTCAGACCTGTTTCCTGACTCAAAACAACCTTTGTCCGTGCAAGAACTTGTGCTGTGGCAGCCTGTGAGCAAAAACAGATTTATTTGGTTTTTTAAACAATAATGTTTTATATGAGAAAGTGACCAGAGTAATTATTATGTTTTTTTAATTGTTAACCTTCTATCAGTAATCACATCTTGATAAATTCATAGGATCTGCCGTTCATTGCAGAAGAAATAGGCTGTAAGTAGTACTTAAGGAGAAAAACCTATTCTGCTAATTAGAATTTCTGTAGAGTCTGTATGTAGTAGATCTTACTCTGCTTATTTGTTTTACTTTGGAGATTGATACTGTTGGACAGGATGAGTTTAATATGAAGATAGGATTTGTTGTTTAGAATAGTTTTCATTTTCTTTATCTAATTCTTGAAAAATGGAGAATTGGTTGAATTGTAAACTAAACTGTCTTTTGAAAGGACAGTAGTATCATTGGTATGAGCTCTTCTGAAATTTTCAGGAAATATTTTTGAAGACCAGATCCCTAACGTGGGGCCTCCTGTGTGTCCTTTTGGGATGTAGATGAGGGATGAAATATTCCTGCTGTTAACCTGGGGACCTGCTGCAAACAACCTTTTGTCCAAATTGGGTGCTAACCTCTATCTTCTTCTGAATTACTGAGTAGAGGTTCCAGCAATCCGTAACTCCACTAGGTACCACCAGGTGGAAGATACCAGTTTATTCTGTCTTCCGTCATCTCAAGGGATTTTTCTCCAAAATAATTTCCGCTCAGGAATGTGGACATCCAGCAACTGTGCAAAAGCTGTAATAGCATTCCCAGCTGTCCAGGGAGAGCGATGATGTGATAAGTTGTCTCTGTGCTTATGATCCTCCATTTCTGTGCAGAGTGCTAATGGAGGTGCTCTGTTAGAAATTATGAGGCCATTGTCATCCTACAAAATAACCAAGTAACTGCTATTGCAAACAAAATGTTATTTTAACTGATCTGGTGTGTGGAGAAGCTCTGAATACAGTTTCCAGATCTACAGAATAAGAAGTTACTGGAATTTTTTACCCGTGATAAATGTTAGAGGCTCCTCATATCAAGGTTTATCTCTCTGTGTTGCTACGTCCTATTTTACTGACAAATTACTGTGTCTATCTATAGATATGTGTATTTATTTAGCAAAATACCATTTGCAAACAGTTAAAAAGTCTGCCTTTCGATGCCAGTAATTATTTTAAATCAAAATAAAGAAAGGCAAATTCCATATTTCAACTTCATTTGCTCTCCTTGTGGTAATCTGTGCAGTAATCTGAATGCAGAATTAGTTTGGGAGTGCTGTGCTCACATCAGGGACCTGAATGTATATTAAAAGCAAACTGATCTGATTGAAAGTTGGACAGTAAGTGTTGGTAGTGTCTAGAGTGAGGAGAGGAAATAAAAGCCATCTACCCAAGCTCATTACACTCCCATGTGTGTCTTACAGTTTTATTTAGAAATGGTATACAAGTTGGTGGCAATCCCTTGAATGACTAATTGAAATTAGATAACTAATGCTAGCATTGCACATCGGTCTGTATAGTCATATTTGACTGACTAATTCTTCCCTATGTAAAAGCGATCTATATTTTCTTTCAGTGAATTAATTACAGATGCATGCAAATTTCCTTAGGGAGCCAAAATCAGATGTAGAGGTATAAATGGCTTAAAACCTAATCAGAGTCCTGATGCACAAAATGTATCCTGCGGTAGGTAATGCAACCCCTTGTGGTAGCAATAAATACTATAGCATGAATTTATAGCTTCGTTGGAAGAGCCAGGAGAAGTATTCCCAAGTATGGAGACTGATAGGAACAGTGGCCTTGCTGCATGACAAAGCTTTTAAGCCTGTAAGTTAGATTTTTCCGGAGCAACACTGGAAATTATTTATTTTTTTAAAGAAGTTTTAATAATTTTCAGTAAGATAAGGGCTATACTTGAGCATCACAGTTAAAATAACTGCAGTTGAAGGCATGCTTGCAGAAGGCCTAATAAAGCTCCAGCAAGGAACTGGCAGATTGTCTAGACGTTATGCTGGTGGAATTGGAGTATTTATTATTAAATTAGTTCTGTTCTTATGTAGGTGCAGGAAAATGTCATTGACATACATTACAATGATGGGAAAATGCAGACTTTTAGTACTAGAAGTCTTGAGGAAACAGCGAACAGAAATATTAGTTTACTAACAGTAGGTAATACTTATTTCCACATATAAAATTACCTGATTTGTCAAGTGCTTTTGATAATTGTTCTTCTTCTGCATAGATTTATGTTCTTTATATTTCAACATATTGTATCACTGGTGAAAGTGGTACAGTAATTTTTTAATCAGAAGCATTGGGAAGAAAATTGGGCTACTCTGAGAAACATACAAACCCCTTCTTGGTATGGGTGCGAGATTCTCTGTGGATCTGTAATTAGTATATATTTCTAAACTTTGTTGACCTACGTTACTGAGATAAATTAAAATAGGCTGGTTTTGTATTTAACTTGCTCCTTCATGTCCTCTCATGAAGTCAAGAAATACCAGTTTCAGTAATGTGCTGTTGCTGGCGTTACATTACCACAGGTCTAGAACAGCACCGAGGTTTGTGTTGCAACATGGAGCATGGAGAGACGTAGGGCAGGTGCTGTGTTGGTGACACCCACCTCCAAGCTTGGGTCCCCTGTGTGGAGCCAGAGGACGTGGGGGGGAGCCCTGTGCTGTTTGACGGGGAGCTGTTAGAGCCACCCAGCAGGAAAGGCTGAGGGCAGGGTGTTCTGGGCTCTGTCTGCTGAAGATCTGGCTTTCTGTTTGGAAATTACAGCTGTGAACCCCATCTTGAGATCTGGTGCCAGCCCCATCTCATTCTCACAGAACACACCGGTGATGTGTGCTCCTCCTCCTTCCCGAAGTTGGTGCAGAGTTTATGCGCTAGAGATTGCCATACCCATTTCTGGCTTTAGTTACAAAAAGAATGATGGTATAGCCAGGAAACTGGGAGGATGAGACCTGGCATTCTGGCTTGTATTAGAAATAGTGTGACCAGCAGAGGTAGGGAGGGGATTATGCCCCTGTACTCGGCACTGGTGAGGCCACACCTCGAGTATTGTGTCCAATTTTGGGCACCTCAATACAAGAGAGATATCGAGGTGCTGGAGCGAGTGCAGAGGAGGGCAACAAAACTAGTGAAGGGCCTAGAAGACAAATCGTATGAAGAACGGCTGAAGGAGCTGGGGCTGTTTAGTATGAGGAAGAGGAGGCTGAGGGGAGACCTCATCACTCTCTACAACTACGTGAAAGGACACTGTAGAGAGGTTGGTGCTGGGCTCTTCTCACAGGTAATTAACAATAGAATGAGAGGGAACGGCTTCAAGCTCCAACAGGGTAGGTTTAGATTGAACATTAGGAAGGAATTTTTCACTGAAAGAGTGGTCGGGCATTGGAACAGGCTGCCCAGGGAGGGGTTTGAGTCACCATCCCTGGATGTGTTTAAGGGATGTTTAGATGCGGTACTGAGGGATATGGTGTAGGGGAGGACTTTGTAGAGTAGGGTAGATGGTTGGACTCGATGATCCCAAGGGTCTCTTCCAACCTCAATGATTCTGTGATTCTATGATTCTATGGTTCCCAGTTGTCCTCCAGTTAACGTTTGCATTTTTGTATTAAACTTCACTTCAACAGGAACAATGCTACGGCCTTGCTCTGTCTTCTGTGAAGGTGTGTGTTTGGTAGCCCTAGCAAAGAGTCCAGGATGGGACGGCTGAGCTGGTCAAAAAATTGTAATGATTTTATGGCAGTTCCATGCTTTAATGCATATTTTTTTTAATCTATTTATTTGACTATTAAAAGCTGCTTTCTACAGGGCAGCCAAGGAGGCTTCAGACAGCTCCTTGGATGTGCTGAAATAACGCTGAGAAACTCTGCAGCTTAATGTAGTTTAGAACTGGAAGAATAAAAGACTAACTGTCCCCTGGTTCTTTTGCACAAGGTCTTTCACCTGTAAAAATTTCAGGCTTTAATCTCGCCCGTGATGCGCTCTGTGATAACTGAAGGGGGTAATTTTCCACCACCCAAGACTATCCAGCAGGAAGAGCACTTGGCTGTGGGAGTGTCTCCTCGTGGGGCAGGGGCAGTGGAAGAGCCTCAAAGGATCTGTGCAATGGGGGCTTCAGGTTGAAGCAAGAGCTTGCTGCCCACGGCCTTGGGGGGACCTGTCTGGCACTCCTGGCATGGAAAGTGTCATCTTTGTTGACCAGATTTCCGCCTTACTTTTCTTATATGGGGTACTGCATATGTAAAAATCACAATTAATTGACTTGGAAGTTGTGTTTGGTTGTGGGTTGGTTTTTTTTGTTGGTTGGTTGTTTTGGGGTTGTTTTTTTTTTTGTAATCCACCTTTAAAGATTTCCTTGTTCTTGCCTGAGGGCTAGGCAGGGCTGGCTGCAGAGGCGTAGGTAGTAAAAGCTCCGGAGCAGGCTTTAAAGGGCACTTGGTGTTTTGCTGCTGAAACAGTGTACTCTGCCTGTGGACTTGTTTGAAGCTCTGGCATATGCTTTTTAAGGCAAATAGGTAACTTCGCTGACAGGTATTGGCTACTCTTACTGGAATTGTGTTATTCGTCTAGTGGGAAACTAAGCGTGCTTGGGCTTTTTTTTTAATTTATACTCTTTTAGTATTTTATTTGAGGCTGAAACTGTATTGGCTTCATACTTATCTTAAAGTTCATAATATTCTGGAAAGAGATTGGGAAGTTAAGGGGCTGAAGTTTTGTTTGTTCTTAATAGAAATTTGTTAGATGTGTGTGTATGTAGTAGATGATACTTAACAGCGACTCTCATACTGTTGATTACAGGAACATAGAGAAGTTGCCAGACAGTTGTTTTTATTTTGCATTTCCTTGACTATTAGATGGGAAACTAGCCCATAAGATGGACATTGCCATTATGAGTAAGTATATAAAGTATTAATCATTTTGATCGTTTAGGAGCTGTGTGGCTTATCTTTGATGTGATTATGCAACCTTGATTTAATCCTCATCCACTTAATTGTGTAACAACTGAAGAAAACCTTCAGAAGAGTCAGGCAGACGCTATTTTTTAATTCATGTTGCTGCTTCTCTCTCCTCCTTACATCTTGCTGCTTGTTCTCTCCCTGTTACAATACGCTGTCAGAAACTAAACAGACTTAGAGCTGTCTTCTTGCCTTCTCCTCCTTTGCCTCGTAGCGGAAGGTTATGCTGCATTTCAAGAGGACAGTTCTGGAGATGAAGCTGAAAGTCCTTCAAAGTTGAAGCGGTCCAAGGGAATACATGTCTTCAAGAAACCCAGCTTTTCCAAAAAAAAGGAAAAGGATTTTAAAATAAAAGAGAAACCCAAAGATGAAAAACACAAGGAAGACAAACATAAGGAAGACAAACATAAAGAGAAGAAGTCAAAAGACTTGACTGCAGCAGATGTTGTAAAACAGTGGAAAGAGAAGAAGAAAAAGAAAAAGCCAATTCAGGAGACAGAGATACCTCAAGTGGATGTTCCCAGTCACAGACCCGTGTTTGGCATCCCCTTGTCCGACGCGGTGGACAGGACCATGCTGTACGATGGCATCCGCCTGCCAGCAGTTTTCCGTGAATGTATAGATTACGTAGAGAAGTATGGCATGAAGTGTGAAGGCATCTACAGAGTTTCAGGTACTCTGGGCACGCTGACATGCAGGTTCCTAAGGTCTTTTCTTGCACTTTTATTATTATTTTACTGTTTGCAACACCTAGAGACTCTGTTTATAGCTGCATTAATTTTAATTATCCAAAAGATAATCAGGTAGCTAAAGTTAAGCAAACACGTAGGTCTAAAGTACCAGAATAGTTGCTAATATGGTGGTACTGCATAATGGCAGTAAAAATACACTTGTTTTGGCCTTTTGTGGTAGGATGGTAATGCTGAATAAAATGTGCTAGTATGGCCAGCTGGTATTATTTTACTTCTGCATTAGAAATGCGGTTCTAGTTGATTGCAAAAGCAGAGATGAGATACAATCATTGATCACTTAAGCTTCCCACTAAGTTGCTTTTTCCAATTACTTCCAGTGTATTATTTTTTTTTCTTAAACTTCTTTTCTTTGAGCAAATACACTAATAAGCAGAAAATAGAAGTTTCAGTATTTAAGCTTAGCAACAGCAGGCTAATTAACCATGGTAGTTGCATAACACCAACTTACATAAATGAAGCATCAGTTTTAATCACGTTAAACAAAACAGTTCCTTTATTTGTGAGCTGCATCTGCACGAGAACTCGTGTAAGTACTTCTGAGGGAATGTTTAAGGGAGCAAGAACAAGGGAGAAAAGGCATTTGAGGAAAAGCATTTGAAACCAGTTGCCTAGCACTGTAAACCAGTAATCAAACCATTTTAAAGGCTTCATTAAGCTGTCTTCGTGCTGTCGATCTGCATGGTATTTGGTAGGCACGTGTAAACACCCCACCAGCTTAAGCAGTTTCTTCAACTTGCATGTGGGAACATTCTGGTTGCATGTTTTTTTAAAGACACAATGTGTCAGGAATTTTCACAGAGGAAGGTGTGTTTTCCGTAAATCATTTTTGATGTTTGTACTTCCTAGGTGTTCTCCAGTGCAATAGCACCCTCTGGTGTGTGTGAGATTGTCTCTTCTCAGCTCTCACTTTAACAACCTACGAGCCCTTGAGACCAGTAACTTGGCCATGAAACTGAGCAAATTCTACCTGGCGTTTGCCATGGGCTGAGTGCACCCAGTTTTGCTGATTGTGCATGAGCCAGGCAGTGCATTCAGTCAGTGGAACTCAAGTGGGTGCTTGAGCTTTAACAATGAGATTTCCCCAAGTTTGGGAAGACTGGAATGTCACTGAGTTATAAAAACACCTGACGGAAAATCTTGGGTGGGTTAAATAATTATGTGAAGACCCTTTTATTCATGCAGTGCCTCAAGTCAAGAATCCTGCGTGAGAGGGCCGGCTGGAAATCTGGGAACTAAAAAGTGCGGGGTTTGTTTTGACAGAGGGAAGCTGTTGTAGGTAGAACTTGTTGCACAATATTTGAGTTGATAACATATTTGCTACTTGGCTTAGGGCTGTATAATTGAACAGGCAGAAAGCTGCTGAATGCAAATACACAATTGATCTTAACATTCCCCAACCCTTCCTCACCCTGTTTGGTGTTCCTCGGTGCGAGGGAAGGCTGGCGCCTGGTCTGATGGACACTTGGCAGCGCTGTGCCTTTGCCTCATGGTACCAGTCAGCGCTTTTAGAAGCAGCCATCAGTGATCCCCTAGGTTGGAGTCATGATTTTAACTTTGTTATGTGTGGATAACTTTTAAAAGGTATTCCTCAATTAGCTTAACTTGAAAGGAAAGGTGAAATAAAGGCATCTGGAAAAAAAAAAAAAGGTTAAATATGACTATTACAGTTTACAGTTGAAGATTTCTCTTAATTCTTGATCTAAATATTTTAAGGAATAAAATCAAAAGTTGATGAGCTAAAAGCAGCCTATGATCGAGAAGAATCTCCCAACCTGGAAGAATACGAGCCCAATACCGTAGCCAGCTTGCTGAAACAGTACCTACGGGAACTGCCTGAAAACTTGCTGACCAAAGAGCTAATGCCCCGCTTTGAAGATGCTTGTGGAAAGAGCACGGAAGCTGAGAAAGTCCAGGAGTGCCAGAGGCTGCTGAAGGAGTTGCCGGAGTGTAACCACCTCCTGATTTCTTGGCTGATTGTGCACATGGACCACGTTATCGCAAAGGAACTGGAAACAAAAATGAACATCCAGAATATTTCTATAGTGCTCAGCCCTACTGTCCAGGTATGTGCCCCACACAGCCAGTGTCAGAGCAGAACTTCAGCCCGAGAAAGACTTCCCTATAGGAATTCTCTTATAGGTGGGAATTGGGTGTTGCCTGATACAGTTAAGCTAAATAATTACATCTTCTTTCTGTACCTCAGGAACCTAAAATGCTGGGAAAAGGGGAACAAAAGGCTTTCTGAGTGTGAGCTTGCATCCTATGGGTCTGGTATTTGGGTTACTAGGAGAGCACTGCAAAGGCTGCTGTCAGGGTTTTAATTCTGTTGTGAACAAAGTACCTTCATGTTGAATTTGTCCAGTAATTCACGCAGATACGTGATTTCTGTGGGCTTGTGACTGGATGGTAATTCAGTGAAGACTGTATTGTTGCTTAATTTCAATACCAAGCCACTGAACCCTGACCTGCAAATAGGTGTTCTGCTGCAGTTGTGCCTGGGGTGCAATGGCTTTGGTGTCTGCAGTCACATTGCCGGGGAAAACAACCCACTTAGTTTTCCAGTCAGATTTTGTGGTTTCTGGATTGGTTAATTCCTTAATAAACGTCTTGGAAATATTTAATTTAAATACAGCTCAGAATTAGTCCTGTGCATAATGGAAACATGGCATTATTGGGTGTGAGTCTTCTAGAAGAAAACCCACACTTCAGAAAAGCTTGGCTTTGTAATTAAGAGTCTAGGCGGAGGCCCAGTAGCAAAAGGGCTGGGTATTATTCTTGGCTGTTTGGCTGTGCCAGATACTTTCTAGCTAACAAAAGTAACAATTAATGTAAAACAAAACAGGCCAAATCATGTTTTGTTGTTAAGTAGATTTAGCAAGTAAAATGCAGGTAGTGACTGAACTCTAATCTTGCTTTCAGGATATTTTTTTTTAATTTTAATGGAAGATATAGTATCAAAATAAGTATTTGCTTCTGTCTCATGTTGAAATGAGGAATAATACAGTAGCATCTCCTTTCAAATTACTTTTTCTACTATATTAAATCACATGAGAGAAAATTTGTAGAAAATACTTATAGTGTGGGGGAGGAGAGAGAAGGTAGCCAGCAACCAGCCATGTGCAGGACGGCTGACGTTCCCTCTTGCCTATTGGTATCACTAACTACCTTTACATGAATAAAAGAAAGATTTAGTACATTTCTGTATCTACCAGTGATGGAAGTAATTGAGGTAGGTTAAAGTATGTGGAAATTCTGAGTTTAGCATGAAAATGCCTCAGATACACAGGTAAGAGAGACAGTGCAGTGATTCCTTGAGGCCAGCACTGGATCATCTAAAGTATCATTTTTAATGCTGATTTAATCTCTTTGGACAAACTGACACAATTACAACTCACAGAAAGGCATCCTAAAGGCTGTTCTGTTTCTGGAGAAAGATTCTGTGCTTCATAGATAAAATGATGTGAATAAATCAGCTTAACCAATATTTTGTCTGTCCTTTCTTTACAGATCAGCAACCGCGTCCTGTATGTATTTTTTACACACGTTCAAGAGTTCTTTGGGAATGTGACCCTAAAGCAGGTGACAAAACCTCTTCGCTGGTCCAACATGGCAACAATGCCAGCACTTCCAGAAACACAAGAAAGCATCAAAGAAGAAATCAGGCGACAGGTTGGCAATTAGTTTAGTGTTTATCTTTGCCCTGGCTTTTATACATTCAGTAGTGAATTCTCATAAGCTTGTGACATACTCTTTAATTCTGTCACAACTGGCCCGTCAGTGGAAAGAGATTGGTGATGTTCTTGCCCATTTCACGTGTGGAAAGTTGTTACTTGTTCTTGTGATGATTATGGCCATGTCTTTTGTGGATTGCTTTTCTGTGTAGTTCAACACTTTTATGGTGGGAGGAGGGTTAGGAGAACATGTTGAGTGTGGTTTCTTTAGTCCTGCTCTTCGGCTAGTTCTGCATCATGTGCTGGGTGTATGTTAACGCTTGCTGTTGGTTGACATGTCAAGCATTGAAAACCAGAACACAAAGGCCACAAAGCCAAAAGGATTTTTCTTCTCAGTCTGCCCTGCTATGATAGACTAAAGACACGCATTTCTTTGGCAATATTTCCAGGAGTTCCTACTGAACTGTTTACACAGAGACTTGCAGGCAGGGATAAAAGACTTGTCCAAAGAAGAGAGACTCTGGGAGGTGCAAAGAATTTTAACAGCTCTTAAGAGGAAACTACGAGAAGCTAAGAGACAGGTGGGTAACTTTTTGATTTATTGGTCAGACATCTAAATCATGGATCCCTAATTTGTGACGGTGCAGAAGCACCCAGTTAGATCGAACCACTTTTCAATCTTCCTGCAGATTTTTTTCACCTTAACTTTACACGGCTGAGGAGCTATTTCATTTTCTGGTTAGCTGGCTCTCCCTGGGGACAGCAAAGATCTTCATGCTCCTTCCCAGCTGTTTACAACAAGAAAATATGTATGATTAAAAACTTAGCGTTTGACAGAGCATATATTCATTATATGCTTAGAACAGTGTGTCCTGGAATACCAAGAGGAATTACTGGAAGACTCAAGCTTAACAAAGTTCAGAAGTTTTTGGGTGTTTTTTTTGAACTGTCATATATCCCAGAGAAGGGACAGACCTTGTAGAAAACTTTCACAACAACTGAGATGGTGATTCTAAATTTGGAAAATATGTTCAAAAAAGTCTTTTTTATAGTAAACAGAGTAACTGGGGAAGCTGTTCCTTGTAAACATCGTTCTCTTTCTCTGGCAGGAGTGTGAAACAAAGATTGCACAAGAAATCGCTAGCCTTTCAAAGGAGGATGTCTCCAAAGAAGAAATGAATGAGAACGAAGAAGTTATTAACATTCTGCTTGCACAGGTAAATGGCAGGCACTTTGTCTGCTCATATCTTCTTGGTCCATGTCTTTCAGAAATATTAAACACTCTTTTGTTCCTCCTTATGCAATGGAAAATTGCAGGTTGAGAGAGGTCTCTCTGTCCATTAAAATACCAGGTTTTGTTTTAGTGGTAAATAAAGTAGGGGAGGAAAGCTGACTGCGGGAGCGAACCCAAAGCTGAGTAGACTCTTGTTAACAGCAAAAAAGGGGACACGGTGCAGCAACAGCAAACCAGTAGCCTTTGTTGTTAATGTACTTAGAAAGCACTTCCAAATCTAACCAGTTTTAATACCGTTACTACTCTCCTGCTGATCAAAGAAAGTAAGGCAACTATTTTGGCTTTTTTTGCCTGCCTTTGCTTCCCTCAGTAGCTTTGATCTTCTCTCCACTGTACTTTCCTCCTCGTATTCATCTTCAAAGATGTATTCTGGGATTCAGTTTTTCTAGTTATTTCACTGGTTAGCCAGAGCTTTCCCCTGTGATTTAAGGAAATAGGCAGCCAAACATGCCAGGATTTGGTGCGTCAGCTCCACAGCTCCTCAGTGCAGCCATCGTCTCGAGGGTTTGGAACAGATGTTGCTGGTTTTGAATTTACATTTGCTTTGAGGTCTTGATGAATCAGAGTTCAAAGCAGGCATGCTAACCACGTCTGCTGAGAGTATTTCAGAGTGAACAGCATCACCTCACGCTTATCGCACATTCCGGTAGAACATAAAGTCAGGGCTTCAAGTGAACTAATTGATCGTTGCAGGAGAACGAGATTTTAACGGAACAAGAAGAGCTGCTGGCCATGGAGCAGTTTCTGCGCAGACAGATCGCCTCGGAGAAGGAAGAAATAGATCGGCTTCGAGCAGAAATAGCTGAAATACAAAGGTAAAAGGGAGACTGCTTACATCAGAGCCCCCGCCAGGAAACACTCTTTGATTAGAAGTACATAGATGCTCTTCAATACTGCAAAGTAGTATTAAAATATAATACTTAAAAACTCACCCTATGAACATCACCTTTGAAAGCCACTTTTTTTTTTTTTTAATTAAAATCTCAGCAACTTTGGTCCTTTCAGGATATTTTCTGTTAGTATAAAAATTGAATTATCATCTAAAGGAAACTGGACCCTGTGCACTAAGAAAAAATCCCCCTAGGAAATCACTGGTTTATTAAATTAAGCTTTGAAAGGGGAGTCTCATTTTGTTTTCAAAACCACTGCAGATCGTTCAGTGGGTGACAGGTAACTCTGTTACCCTGCTGTAGAGCTGGCAGCTTCAGGGAGTGTTTCAACCCCAGTTTGTCCTTGGTCTTTCAGTCGCCAGCAGCACGGCCGAAGTGAAACCGAGGAGTATTCTTCCGAGAGTGAAAGTGAGAGTGAAGATGAGGAGGAACTGCAGGTCATCCTGGAAGATTTGCAGAGGCAGAACGAGGAACTGGAGGTAAGATTTGAGTCTTAGTACTAATGGGTTACTCTTTTTCTGCGCAATTACTTGATTTAGTCTGTGCAGAGATGTTTGCCCACATGCAAACTGGTACGTTTTGCATCTCTTTGGCCTAAGCACAAAACCCACGTGCTCTCTGTTTTAATCACTGTCGTGCACAAGTCCACGTTGCTGTCAGAAGGAGCCCTGACGTTTGTTTTCGTTCCTTAAAAGATAAAGAACAATCACCTGAACCAGGCGATTCACGAGGAGCGAGAGGCCATCATCGAACTGCGCGTGCAGCTCCGGCTGCTGCAGCGAGCTAAATGCGAGCAGCAGGTGCAGGAAGAAGAGGAGCCAGAAAAGGCCCGCGGGGGGGTTGTTCCTCAGCAGCAAAGAGACAGTGTCCTGGAGACAAAAGCAGCCAAAGAGCAGCCAAAAGCAAGCAAGGAGCAGCAAGTCAAGCCATCGCCCAGTAAAGACCGGAAAGAAACTCCAATTTGATCCGGCTCCTTGGATATGCATAAAATCAACCAAACTGTGCAAATTACTGTAATTTGAGTCAAACTGCACAAATTATTGCTGGCTGTGTACATTCTGTAAAGAAACGTTTCTTTTAAGCCCTGGAGACTTTTGTCTCCAATACTTGTGGCTTCTACTCATCAGACTCAGGTGAGTTTGGAGAGGCCAGAAGAGTTTTCCAGTTAGTATCAGATTATTTCAAGACTGGTTTCCTTCAGGTGATTTAAAATAATTCAGTAACAGGTTTATTTTAAACCAAAATCATTATTGACATTCATTGGAGCAGAATTGGAAAAAAATCTCATTTTTGGTAAATAAACAAAAACCCACCCGCACTTAATAATTATTTGCCTTGTGAATCTATTCATCCTCATTCACCATTATTTCTGCTTATTAACCCAGTCACTTCTTGCTTGTGCCTTTGATACCTTTCTGATGCAGATTATATACAAGGGAGCTTTAAATTTATTCTGGGTTGGCTGAAAAGGTGGGAGACTGCGGGGTATCGCGTTTACCTAACATGCCCTTAAGCTTCATTTTTGTTCTGAGATGTACTGAATAAATATAAAACTTGAGAGATGTTATTTATGTCCCTGTATGATGGCAGCATTCATGTCTTTAGCGATGTAGGTAACCCATGTGCTCATTTATAACCACCCTCATCGCAGCCCTCTGACGGGCCGTACAGCCCACGGCTCGCTTCCTTCATCCCGTTAAATGTTCCAGTCCCTGGGAGAAAGGCGCTGACGGGTGCTTTAGGCAGCGACAGGGACGGGTTCTGTCACTTCAGACAGATCTGCCCAACCAAGCAATACAGCACTAATTACTGCAAGTCACTCGTGCTTCCCCGAGGGGAGGCACTGGGGGTTCGGGGACAGCCCCTGGTTTTCAGCTGTTTCAGAAAGCACCGACCCCCACCTGGGACTTGCTGTTGGTTTGGCTGTTTCCCTGCTTCTGCCCAAAGCCTCCGGGGAGTTAAGGGCCAGCTCATGTTCCCCACACACTCCCACGAGACCCCTCCATCAGTTCATCTCTAGACAGCAAACGCCACAGAGTGCATACAGGCTATCCTTATTTTTTAATCGGTATATTTATTTTCAGCACCTGTTGGATGTGGTTGTATTCTTTATCTATTGCACTGTTGTGAATCATTGGCCATGATTTGATTTTGTACAAATAATGCTTTGATATGTTATAGAAAACAGCATAGTATTTTTTTAAAATTTGGAAAAAAAGTTTATAAACACAGAAAATGTGGTCAGATGACAAATGTAAACTAAAGCATTCTCCCTTGCCTTCGTTACATACATTTTATATTTGCTGGCAATATTTAAACCCTTTTTTGTTCGTTTGTTTAATTCACACTAATTCCTATTGAATTGTCGTGGATTTTTCTAATGTTCTTCAGACAAATCTCTTAATATGGGTTAACTTTTATTTTGTTAGGATTGTATTTATCAAGCAAATAAATTCAACAGCCATTTGAAAGTAGTTTCTAATTTATCTGCTTCATCATATATATATTTCATAGCTATTGGTCAACAGCCGGCTGCACATGAGCCAACAGTGTGCCCAGGTGGCCAAGAAGGCCAACAGCATCCTGGCCTGTATCAGGAACAGCGTGGCCAGCAGGAGTAGGGAAGTGATCATGCCCCCGTACTCGGCACTGGTGAGGCCTCACCTCAAGTGCTGTGTCCAGTTCTGGGCCCCTCACTACCAGACTGACATTGATACGATAATGTATAATATCTGTAGTTATTGTTCTTGGGTGGCTACCACCAGTTGAGAACTTTATATGAAAAATTAGTTCAGGCCTTCAAGACCAGACTGTCTGCAACTGAATGTCATAGAAAGCTTCCATAACCCAGCTGGAGATCAAGGTTAATTTGATCAAAAATTAAAGATTTTGAGCCTTTGCTTCTCTATTACTACAGAGATTTCAGCTGCAAAAGTAAAAACCATCCTATTTATTCACATCATGACTTCAACACATGAACGCCTTTCTCCTGCAACCTTACAAGGCACTTGCAACATGCCACCACTGAAGTCTGAAATGGAGGTGGAGTTGCTGCTCCTGCAGTAATGTACCAGCTGTAGCCAGACATTTAGTTTCAAAACACCTGAAAGGTATTTCGGGTCACTCCTCCTGCCAACCTCCACCACGGGCCCAGCATGACCCCAGCGCCAGCCCTGGCAGTGCTTGTGGTGAAAACACCACCCCAGCAGCAGTGATTTCAAAGAATGTGCGCAGCAGTTGCAAATGATTAGCTGGAAAAGCCAAAGCTAATTTCAAATAAAGTGGAGACTAATTACAGCACGGTAATGTGAGTGCGTTGTTCAGATGACTCTATGGCTGCCTTATCAGTCTCGGGTGGCTTACGGTGACATCTGTGAGCTGCAGGGCTTGGGCAGTGGCCTCCAGAGGCAGCCACAGCCCCTGCACAGCAGGCACCCGCAGGGAGTCCATACACCTCCCAAATAACCCGCTGACCTACATCAAAGTCTCTTAAACACATCTAAATTGACTTCAAATAAGACTTTTTCCAGCAACGTACAGCTTGTATGCACCCAGTGCGGCAACAGAAGCTCTGTCAGACCCTGTGGACAAAATACCAGACCGACTCACCTTTGCTGAAGCGAAGAAAGAAGGGGGTGGCAGCCTTAGTTCTAGTGTTGAGGGCGTAGCAAAACTTCTGTGCCCCACTGATGTGGCCCATCTGCTCTCCTCTTAACAAGTCCAAGTGTTTCCTCCACAGAGCGTTACTTCAGAGAGGGTTTGGTTGTTTTTTCCTCCCAAAAAAGTCATTTAACACTGAAAAAATAGCAGCCTGAAGTGAACTGTTATTGCCTGAACTATTTAACAAGGTGTGTGGGGGTTATTTATTGAAAGATAAGAAGAAAAAAAAAAAAAAAAAAAAAAAAAAAAAAAGCAATGAGCAGTACTCTTCTCACATCCCTTACCGCAAGTCTGAAAACACCAGTTTGTGTCCAACACCTCAGAGGATTCCAGCCGATGTTCCAGGATTCCTGGGCTCTGCCTTGTCCACAGGAGTTTTCCAGCACTGGCTCGGCTTCCTTCTGGCAGAAGCGGCAGCGGCCAGTTCTGGTGTGACGCTGGAAGGTTTCCTCCCCCCTGCAGGGAGGCAAGTGCCAGTCCCACAGGGAGCCATAAGGGGTGCCAGAAATCCATCCTCCTTTATGATAAAGGATCTCCCTACAGGAAACTCCTTCCCCCCTTCACTCATTCCAATACCAGCAGTGGGGGAATTCATTTTCACTCGTGTCCCCCATCAGATTAATGAGCCAAGTCTAATTTTTAAAGGCTAGGTACTCAAGCCAAGAATTTTACACCTGACCACGTAAGACTGTTCTCTTCCCATTAAAATAAAATAAAATGTAAAAGCATCGACCTGCCATCATCCTCTGCCAAAAAAAAGGTTTGACTAAGCTCAACCTGTCACAGTTTTAGTTTTTCAATACACACCTCTGACTCACAGCGTGTCCTCTCCAGAGGGAAAAATCCCTCTTCCAGACCAAACGCAGCCTGTGCCCCACAGCACCAGTTCTCTGCGGTGTCTTTGACACCCGCTCTGAGGGCAGAAGCCAGTGGCACTGTGCTCCCTACCAGAGAACCACCTGCCCGGCCCTACAGCGGCTGACAGCCCACAGAACCAGCACAAAACCAGTCAAAAGACCATTAGAAACAAAAGGTGAAATAAATAACCAATACAAGAGCAACGGCCCAGCCCAGACTTGAGCCTTTGTTGTCCCCCTTACTAAAAACCAAGTTTCTTACTTATACAGGAAACCTGGATTGACTAAAAATAACGGAACATTCCTTTGGTGTTCAAAACAGCGCATCTCTCCTCTCAGTGACCTTATTAAAAAAAGCACGCAGAGAAATGTGCTCTGTACCTTCACTGCCCACAGTCGTGATTCAAAACCACCTGCAGGTAAATACCTGTAAAGCATTCCCCACACAGAAACATCACCACCCCTCTGCACCAACAGGGCATGGCATTTCAAGCAGACCATGGTGGGAAGGTTCTAAAATCCTGAGTAACATGCTCTACCATGCTCTGGGTAATCCTGCTTCAGCAGGGGAGCTGGACTAGATGATCTCTGTGGTCCCTTCCAACTCTATAAATTCAGTGAAATTCAGTGAAGATGTTTAAACATCTGTTCACTCGCCTCTGCAAAGCCACAGTACATTTCAATCAGCTAGATGTAGTCCAGCCTCAACAGCAATTGAGCCCCAAAGCATCTACATTACCTTCGGCCCTTTATTTATTTTTCTGATCTAAATAAAGTATAAGTTAAGTAAAACTAAAAGGCTGCGTCTGAAAGCACTCGGGGGTGGGGAGGGAGAAGATCACGCACATTTTAAATGAGCTTTCCTGTCACGGCTCTGTATTTTTAAGGCAGTCTATCAGCATGTCCTAACTCTGCATGCAAAGAAAAGTTTAATCGCTTTAAACGTACTTTCCATGTTGTCCCAAGGGAAGCACAGGTAGGAAAATGAGCTCTTCCCATCAGTATCAGAGAGGGGAGAACTGCCACGAGAGAACAAGTGGAACACAAAACCAGCTTTTGTCCATCGGCCAATTCTCCAACTCCTTCCCATCCCACCAAGACAGAGAGGTCCCTGGGCTGAAATCAGAACACATGAGCACTGCACCGAGGTTTCCACACCAAAAGACAAGGGAACAAAAGGGGACCTTGCCAATGGGGAAGGAAGCCAATGAAAGGATGAGTTTGCCCGACCCACAGGACAGGCTTTGCCGTTCCCCCCTCTCTGCCCACCCACTACCAGTTCCAATCGGCCGCCTCTGAACCCCCACCTCTGCACAGAGGAAAGGGGACAAGCACTAACAAATATGTAACAAGTAACTGAGGGGGCACGACCCATTCATGGAACATGAAAGCCACCACAGTCAGGCCTACACCCGCACAGGAGGGCTGAGAGCCCACACAGACATTTCTTCCAGCTGGGCTGAAATTAGCCGGCTGTTCTGCGGTTCTAACGAACATCGGATCTTGTCCACAGGGCCAGGAACCTGTGCAACAGCCATCTGGGACATTCACAACAGCAGAAACTGATTTCCGAGCATCACTCATGTCTTGGTTAAAAACAAACTGTCCCTCTAGAGGGTTCCACACATTTGCCAGCTTTATTGGCATGAAATCTGCACAAAAGCGTGGTGAGAAACAGCCCTACCAAATCCTGACAGGCCGCTGGGGAGGAACAACCAAAGACAGAACCTGCTGTGAAAAACAGCAAGTGAAAGGCCATGGGAAAAAAGGGATTTCCCATGAAGAAATTCCAAGATGAGTGAGCCAAGAGATCAAACGGAAAACAACAAAAATTTCTTGTGAAGGACTGATTTGGTATTCTACCAAGAAGGTGGGGGTAGAGCTATGATACTGCTTTTGGGAAACCGTGGACCAAGAGATGACAATTTGGGAGCCACCTCACTTTCTGCTCAAGAAATCCTGACCAAGAGAGAAATTAATTGAGATACAAAACTCGACTCTTTCTTCAGGGGAGACACACACGAGGGAATTCACCAGGATCTTTGGCAGCGTTCCCAGACACTGCCCCACAGAAAAAATAGCTCACCGCTCAGAACCGAGATGCACATTTCCCCAAACCCCATATCCTTAGGGAAGATTTGAAGCTCCAATTACTGACACAGCCAACCCTGCCAGCATGAGAAAATTCCCTATCAGAGTTAAGCAATAGAGACAACACCCCTCAGGCTACAGATCAAATGCACTTGGGCAACACTGAGAATAAAGCAAGTCTTTCCTTCCCTTTCACTTCTTGGGAATCGCCAAATGAAGCAGAAAAGAGGCAGGCAGATCCATGGCATGTTGGGTGAGGAAAAGGAGAAAGCCAGCTATTTCTCCTCTTCCCTGAAGATGATCTTTATTTGTTACGTGCCAGGGGAATTCAGGCACTCCGCAGCTGGAAACACTCAGTCTTTCTTAGGAAAAGGCCCAAACTCTCCCTCAAATCCACAGGCCTGCACCAGCTCTGAAGAAATACAGAACAGAGAGAAATGAAGCATCCAGAAGATCTGTCTCATTTTTCAACCTGAAGGTGTCTTACCCTTAAATAACTGGAAAATGCCTAAAGGGATCAGATATAACGCTTCATTTTACTGGACGGGTGGAACCACACATTACTGCAGTAATAGAATTAGGTTGGGACACGTTCATTCTGGACTCCAAACACCAGGATCTATTTAAGTCCCAATACTCCTCCAGTGAACACTGCGCTCCATGCACAGTTAGGAGATGACCTGAAGCATGCCCTTGTCCAAACAAAGTGCCCATCCCATTCACCTCAGAAATCGCACACGTGACCTAACAACAACGCAACTGTCATTACACTGAGGCAAAAAAAAACCAAAGGGAATTATGTACCCTGAACAAAATGCAGAAATTGACTGGATTTTAATGTGTGTTTCTAAAGTGGGAATCACCTG